TCAATATACTGCTGCAAACGTTTCTGAATTATCTTCAGTAAGATCTTACTTGCGTGCGATATTAATGATATTGTTCTATAATTTCCACATTCTATAAATATAAGACAACTAAAAATATAAGCTCAGTAATTTGAATTATCAAAGCACTTGATCAGTATTTCAAAATGGAATTTAAACTTTTTATGTTTGGGAGACACAAACATAAAACAAAAAAATCACACAAATAAATCGATAATTGCACACTGCTATGAAAAGTGGTTGGATGAATAAGTATAAATAAAAAAAGATGGGACCAAAGGAAAAAAAAATGTTAATCTTCTTAAAACTGAAGTAAGCGCGGTGAAGTACAGTGCAAGATTCACATCACTATTTCATATATATTAGTTATATAGATATATATATATTTAAAACACCTTAGCAAAACACTCAATCTTGAAACTAATTTTGCCCTTCCTTCCAAGTTCTGCTTTCCCCGCCAACTTCTTTTCATCTCATTCTCTCAGCACTGGGAAATCTCTTTCAGCGAGAAGGGTATTTTGGTGTTAAACCCTGAGAGACACCAATTTAACCTCTATGACCTCTGACTTCAGTGATTTTAGAAGAAACATGAGAAAGCCGTCGGTATAGTGTAAAGCACACGTTGTTGTTGTTGTATACTGCCTTGGAGTCGATCTGACTCACAGCGACCGGTCCTTGGGTTTCCGAGGCGGTATTACTACGGAAGTAGGTTGCCCAATCGTCCTTCTCAGGACCGGCTGGTGAGTTTGAACCGCCAGCCTTCTGGTAAAGCGCATAGCTAACGCATATTGACATTAAAACTGATCAGGGCAAGTCCAATACAGGAAAGGAAAGTGACGCTTCAACTACTCGCCAAACCTCATGTAAAACCTGGAACTGGAATCATCACACTCGCTTTAGAAAAATTTCACATCTGCGCATGCTCTGTAGGTGACACAGCGCCCCCCTCCTTCCTCTTGTGGGCGATCCCGGTTTGTTTATTAATTTACGACGGTCGTAAACTGGGATTTCGTGACGGCTTCCTAGCTTTACGACGACAACAACTATGGCAGCTGCCGGTGGTAGATTTCAAAGTGCGAGGAGTATCCAAGAGCGTAAAGAACAGACCCGGATTGCGAGGGCGGAGGTGTTGCTCCAGGTACAGCTATTTTGGGGCATTTGAAACCCTTTAAAATTATGGGGGTAAAGAGGCTTTCTGGTGTCCCTTACCCCCGCACACATTTAAGTACCTCACTTTAGCTGGATGGGGGTCTTCCTTTGGGATACCCCCAAACTCTTGGGTATCTTCCGCCTTCTAATTGCCCTGGCTGGCTCCTGTTTTCATTCTCTTTTCGGAGGTATCTGTTCTCTTTCTCTGCGTTTCCTTTCCTTTTTAAATCATCCCTTGATTTTTCTGTTTCCTGGACTGTGCACTTGTAGGGACTCTGCCTTATTGCCACACGATCTTAGTCCTTGCTTCTTGTATCTGGAATTACGATTCTCATTTTGAGGAAAACATGTAAAGCACATTGGAGCAGTCTGTGTTTGATCATTCTTTTCTCTTTTCTACTGGTATCAATTTCAATAATCCAAACAAGAGCTGACACTAGAGACCCAGAAAATTTAGTCCTGGGGAACGATCGAGAAACATTGTGTTCCTCATTAAGACTGCAATGCATAGAGGTAACATACAAAGGAAGTATAGAGGAAGTAAACTGTATTGAATTCTCTAGCAAGCTATTCAAGATGTTTGGTAATGAAGGGGAACAGGGTTTTGTTTGTTTGATGACAGGATTTTAAACGAGTTTAAATGCAGATGAGAAGGAGCCAGGGCGAAGAAAAGGTAGAGGATACAGGAAGGAGAGGGGTTAATGACTATAGATAAAAGTGGAAGAGTAGGCACTTAGTCTTGGACAGGTGCAAGGTTGGTATTATTTTCTGACTTCAGCATATGTAATATGTGTGTATAGTAAATATTCTTCACTCTTGACTCCTTGGTATTTTCAAGCAGTTTTTCGAGGGGGTAGGGTTTGTAAGCATGCTTTTAAGTCTTCATAGCTTCTGTAAACTTTATCTGCAAATGCGCCCTTATTTGCTTTCATTTAATATTCTTTTGTAAGAGTTTACTTACTGATATTTAAATGTAAGTGATTTTTGAGATTTTGCTGAAGCTTGTTGAATATTATTGTCAACTACAGGAGAAAGATTTATTTGTGGAAGAATGAGTACTAACAGCAGTTCTGGTCAGACTTGGTAAAAAATAGCAACCAATTAGATACATTGTTTAATAGGAACTATGAAAATTATCTACTTATTTATTTGTGTACAGACTAGAATTACCTTAAGACCTGACATTTGTTTGCAACATTACCATTCATATTAGAAGTTCCTTAAGTGGTTTTAAAACTTTTATTGTAATTCATTTTAATTTGAGGGGACTTTCCGTTTGTTTTTTCTTGCTTTTGCTGGTGTGGAATAAAATAATTCTTGCTCACAAATGCTGGAAGAAGAGAACTTCCAGGTTCTCTTTGATATTTGAAGACAAAATGTTCAAAACTTGGAAACAAGGCAAAAATATGACTGTGTCCCTTTAATATTGTGCTAGAGAATTATCTAAGAAGCCTGCCTAATGGTCATCTGAGTAGAGAAGCATGACTTTGACTTACTGTTTACTATTGATAAAATACATCTTGACTTGTATCTGAAACTGTGTGAAATTAGATCTTAGTTTGTAGACATTGTAAGATGTATTAATTCTTGATTAATAGAGGGGCAGAGAATAACTCCAAAGGTTAGGTGTTCTTTTGCCTTGTTGGATAGTTTTGAATCTAATTTAGCAATCTTATTCCAGCATTCTTTTTTCCTCTATGTATAAATATGTTTCTTACATCTTTTAAAACTAGCTTTGTCATCTTGCTGGTTCTCTCACTAATGAGATGCATAAGGTGCTCACTGTGAGTCAGTGTGAGAATTAGTTTTTAAGTTTATGAAATTATATTTTGATAAGTAATAGTGTAGAAGTTTTCTTAATTTCTGTGCCATTTTTTTTTGTAATAAGTTCCTGGATATATGGAATAAAATTCTATATTTTATAAATTTACATTTTAATATTTTTGAGTAGTTAATAGATTCACATGGTTCAGAATTAAAAAAGGTAGAAAACAGTAAACAATGCAGAGTCTCCTCCATTTCTTACTTCAGCTACTCATTTCCTTCTTGTAAAGGTAAACAAGTCTATCAATTTCTTAGTTATCTGTCCAGGAATATTTTATTTCGTATGCATATATAAGCAAATATGTTTATAATAGTTGCCCACTCCTCTCCCTACATTTTGTACAAATCATAGCATACTTTACACACTGTTTTGAACTTTGGTATTTTCTCCTAATGGTATATTTGGTTCCTCCTCAGTATATGCCAACATGCAGAGCTTTTTTCTTTTCTTTTTTAAAACAGCTCTGTAGTATTTTATGTTATGGGTGTACCCAAATCTATTTAATGTCTCTACTGAATTACGTTTAAGTTGTTCTCAATCTTTATTACAAAATAGACTTCAGTGAATAACCTCATATGTAGTAACTCAGATAGTGTCATTTGCACAGATGTGAGTATTTTTTGTTCGACAATCTTTCACTATTGTCACTGATGCAATGAGTACCTTCATGTGTGGTCATTCACACATTGTCATTTACATATTTATACTTAGGTAAATTCTTAGAAATAGATTTGCTGTGTTAGAGAGTATGTACTTTTATAAATTTGGCAGGTGTCACCAGGTTGCCCGCCATAGAACCAAACCAGTTGCTGTGGAGTCGGTTCTGATGCATGGTGACCCCATGTGTATCAGAGTAGAACTGCATTCTATAGGGTGTTTCCTGGCTGATTTTTTGGGAAGTAGATCACCAACCTTTTTTCTAAGACATCTCTGGGTAGACTTGAACCTCCAACCTTTGGATTTGCAGCCAGATGTGTTCACCGTTTGCACTACCTATGGACCAATTTGCTTGGTCGTCATCAGTGTGTAAGAATATGTTCCCACACTTTTGACATCATGGTATGTTTTCAGACATTTGCAATAGTAATACTTTTAAATATATTTTATTGAGAATATACACAGCAGAACATACACTGGTTCAGCAGTTTCTATGTGCACAATTCAGTTACATTACATTCCTTGAGTTGTGCAACCATTCTTACCCTCCTTTTCTGAGTTGTACCTCCCTGGTAACATAGACTCACTGCTACCTAAGTTTCCTATCTCAAGTTGCTGTTGTCTCATAGATAGATCTTAAAAGAACACATTGCTCATGGCAAACATTCTTTACCATTTATGCTAAACTTTTGTTTGGTTTTAAGAAGATTTCAGGGTATATTTTTGGTTTATTTTCTCAGGACAATAGTTTCAGGGGTTCATCCAGCCTCCATGGCTCCAGAAAGTCTAGAGTCCATGAGAGTTTGAAGTTCTGCATTTTCCCCCTTTGGATCAGGATTCTTCTATAGGATCTTTGATCAAAATGTTCAGCAATGATACCTGGGCACCATCCAGTTCTGATCTCTGTTGTTCTGTAGGATGACACTGAAACAAAAGGGACCAGATGGCTGGGAAAAGTTGGTTATATGGTCATCAGTAGAGATCATTTGGTCCATGCTTGCCATTTCCGAGGTGAGATGGCTGAGGGCTAGAGAGCCAATAGCTAGGGATGTGTACGTGTGTGTATGTGTATGTGTATTTATACACAGGTACTTTGAAAATAACACTTTTGAAAAATTTATTATTCTTTTTACTATAAAAATTGCCAGTTGTACAGAGGTATAAAGAGCACAAGTTTTAAGCTCATCATTTAGAGATAATATATTACTTTACTTTCTTCTTTTTTTTTTTTTTTTAAATAAGTCCACACACAAATCCAAATCCTCACAGTCTGTCATCAAACTGGGATTATACTCAAATATGGTTCCATTCTGCTTTTGCTATTTCTATTGTGAACAGTTTCCCATGGATTAAATATCCTTTGAAAGCCAATGTTTTATGGTTTCATACTGTTTCATCTTATGGTTATGTCATATTGTATTTATCGTTATTCTCTGGTTACCTAATGGCTTGTTTTTATTTTTTCACTGCAGTAAATTACGTTGTGATAAATACCCAGCTAGGTATTTTCAGTCATTCAGTTTTTATTTCCACAGTTATTCATTGATCCACTTCTGTGTGGAATGCATTTTGGGAACTAGAGATGAGAGATGTAGTAATACCTTACTTCAATGGATAATTAGACAAGAGGAATTTAGAACATAGCGATGATAAATTTTACAGTAGAGATATATATAGAGTTTGAGAAGCACCAACTCCAGCTTTGGAGTTCGGGTGAGATAATGAGACAGTAGGAAAAACTTGCTGTAGCTGTAAATTGTTGAAGGATGATTAACATTAGCAATATGATTACTTTGGTTTTAGAAAGATGGTTCTTCCTGAGGCAGTTTTTGGGGGCTGGGTGGGGAGAAGGGCGGAGTGTTGCAGGTTGAAGGCATGGAGATGGTCTCCTGTTACAAAGTCTAACTCATTAGCAGTGAAAATGGTGAAGGGAAAAGGATTTTAAGTCATATTTGAGGGTGGGAATTTAGGGACAGGGGAGTGTCTAGAATAGGTTCCAGGATACTTTTTCCCTGATTGGCACAGTTCACTAGAGATTGGTAATTTAGAAGGAAAGAATTAAAAAAAGAAATCTTTTCATTACTTGGGCAGAAGTAAATTAATGCAAGAAATAGAAAATTGATTCATGAGCCAACATCTGTTATCAAAGTGGGACAGGTTTCTCTTTTCCTTTATTTTTTTTACATTTGGATAAGTAACTGTTAATTTGCTTTTTCTATGTTTAGGCTAAAGCTGATTTTGAAAAGGAAGAGAGGCGTAAAGAACTTAAGCGACTTCGGGGTGAGGATACATGGATGCTGCCTGATGTAAATGAGCGAATTGAACAGTTCTCACAGGTGAATACTAACATACTTTCCTGATGTAAGCAAGTCTGTCTTTTTTTTTTTTTTGGACTTATTCATGCTAATAGTGAAAGAGAAACTTCATAGAATAGTTTCATAAGTTACAGAATGGGTGTCATATAGTTGGCATTATTGAATAGCTTTATCTCTGGTAGAATTAATGTATTTTGGATATAAAGACATTGGGAAGATTTTGCTACTTGTGTTAGCTGGTAGAAGGCTTAGATTCAAATTTCTGGCTCAGTTTTAGCAAGGCAAGTTTAGCAAATTAGATCTAAAAAGTTATACATTTAAACTGTGTTTTGTTCTTTATGTCTCAACTCTTTTTTTTCACCACTGCTTAATTTCTGCTATTTTGTTATATTTTATATAGCCTGATTGTCTTCCATAAATCCCTTTGGTGGTGTAGAAGAAAATAAGTATCATTCATTTAAATCATTTAGGTGAGGTTTCTTAACCATAAACTTATGAGGGAAGTTTTAGTTTAGATTATTTGTAGATTCATTTGACAGATATGAAAGACACAGAAACAGATATTTTAAAAAAAAAGATACGCAAATATATATATATATATATGTCTGTGTATTCTTCTGTGCTCCCAAGAGATTGATGGAAGTTTACTAGGCCAAATAAAATATAACAAAATAGCCTAAATTCTATTTTTTTGGGAAAAAAGAATTGAGGCATAAAGAATGAAATGTAGCTTAAAATGTATGAATTTTTAGATATAATTAGTAGTATATATATTATGGGAGAAAGATACAGTGGTCTGAGTCCATAAAGGTTACAGCCTTAGAATTCCTATAGGGCACTCATTTAGGGACAGGGGATTGTCCAAAATAGGTTCCAGGATGTGGAACTGTGCCTGATTGGCACAGTTCACTAGAGATTGGTCAGTCGTGATCAAGTTGATGGCAGTGGGATATATATTATAAATAGAAGACTTTATTTAGCTTCTCATATTCCTGCCTCATTTCATGAAACATTTTAAGTTTTTTTCTAAGGTAAATTTTTTTTCCCTCTGAAAATGCTTATTTTAAAATAAGATGGAAACTAAATTCCTTTTGTACTTATGCAAAATGATTACTTATAGGAACACTCTGTAAAGAAAAAGAAGAAAAAAGAGAAGCATTCAAAAAAGGTAAAGAAAGAGAAAAAGAAAAAGAGCAAGAAACAGAAATATGAAAAAAATGAGTCATCTGAGAGTTCATCAGTAAGTATGTAGTGAAACTAAACAAAGCAGCTATTTGAGAAAGTTTGATTTAATGAAATAATATATGGGAACTTAAAACAATATTACTAGTTATCATATGAAAATGCCTGGGATGCTTGAAGTTGGCCAGGAAATAAAGGAAATGTTGATCTTGGGTTCTAGAGAAAAATAAAGGTATAGAGAGGTTGGGGAATCATCGCTAGTGGAAACTATTAGACTGGATGAAATGCCTACAGGAATTGAAAAGAAAGAATATGGACATTGTAGAGCCCAACAGAAAGTGAAGGACACAAAGAAGTAGTTAGAAAATTAGGAAGAGAAGAAGGAAAGGGGAGCACTGTAAACATAAGGGAAAAGAGTTTCAGGGTATTTGAGGGTTTGTGCCCTGTTAATGTGCTTATATGCTTTTAGGACCAAAGGAAGAGAGTAGCTGGATCTGCTGTGTTTCTGGCCATTTCTGGGATGAAAGGACTCCCAGAGGAAGGGAAAGCAGGTTAAATCCTTCATGAAAGAAGATGGGGTGGGTGTGAAATGTGGAATGCCTTTGCAGTAAACAATTTGATTTTGGTTCTTGAGAGCAAGACAAGGAGGATGAAGAGTCAAGGCCTGCCAGCTAAGAGGGATCACTTAGGGGCTGGATGCTGAGTAAGCCTCAAAAGGCTATGAGGTGAGGCCAATAAAGGCCTTGGAAGATGGAGGCTCATTGGGGCTTCCAGGAGAGAGTGCAAACCTTCTCTCAGGAGGGAAAAGCACATCGCTTGGGGATATGGAAGCTTTGTGCTGTAGGTTCCTCCTCTTCCTTCTTGTTTGTATCCTTTTTCCTTCTAGATTAAATGTAGCCCTTTCCCTGCAGTTAGTAAGCTGTCCCATCGGATTATTGAGTTCAAGGTATAAAGAAGGGACCAAAAATAGAGAAGGAACCGGTACCCACTGACGTGGCCCCTGGTGAATGGAGATGAGAGAAAAAGAGCTGTGTGGAGTAGTTGGGGTCTGAATTGACAGGGAAGGGAAGCTGAGATTTTCCTGGATTGATTATTACAAATTGTTCTTTATTTTTAATAGTGTTTTTGCTAGATGCAGAATTTATGTTTAAAGTTCTTTTTCTTTCTGCACTTTTAAATGTTATTCCATTGTCTCCTGGTTTACATTGTTCCTGGGAATTCTGTAGCCATTCTTACCTTTTTTCCTCTGTATGTAATGTGATTTTTTTACTCTGGATACTTTTAAGGTTTTTTTAAAAATTTTTTTAACAAATCACTTGTGATTATTTTTTTTTAAATTGTGATTTGAGTGAAATTTTACAGAGCAAATTCACTTTCCATACAGCAGTTCACATACACTTTGTCTGATGTATTGTTTTTCTGTATATGTGTGTGTGTTTATTCTGCCTTGGGTTCATTATGCCTCTTTGATTTGTCAGTTTAAAATTTCTATCAAATTTGAAACTTCCCAGCTGTTGTTTTGTCAAATGCTTTTTCTGTCCCCCTTCTTTGCTTGTCTGCTTAATATCCCACAAGTTGCTGACCCTCTGTTTACTTTCTTTCTAGGCTTTTTCCTTTCTGTTTGGTTAGATTTTATTGATTCTTCAGTTTGGTTAGATTTTATTGCTGTTAGGTTTTTGCTGTTATCCTTCAGTTTAGATTCACTGACCTTTTCTTTTGCAGTAGCTAATCTGCTGGTATCTCTGTCTAGTGAAATTGTCATTTCACATATTGTGATTGTTATGAAAAGTTTTAATTGGGTTGTTTTTTATATCTTTAATTTATCTCCTTGTTATGTTTATGTTTTACTTTCTTTGTATCATTTATAATGTAACATTATGTTTCTTGTATGCTATAAACGTATTTATAATAGCTGTGTCTTCTCATTTGCTATTCTGTCATCACTTGTTTCTTGTTATATTTCTGTTAACTAATTTTTTTCCTGTCAATGGATTGCATTTTCCTGCTTCTTTGGAGGTCCAGGTCCACTGCCATTGACTCAATTCCAACTCATAGCAACCCTATTGGACAGAGTAGAAATGCCCCATGGGGCTTCCAAGGCTGTAAATCTTTACAGAAGCAGTGGTTAGCAGTCAGGTGCTTTAACTATGCACCAGCAGTGCTTTTTGAAAGTCCAGTAAGTTTTAATTGTTAAAGTTGTATCAGGAGTGCTGGATTTTGACTTCATTTAAAGGATGTTGTTTTTTTCTGGCAGGCAGTGAGTTACTTGTCGATTAGTTGAATCCTTTTTAAGGCTTGTGTTGAAATTTTATTAGTGTTTGTCTGGGGTAGCCTTTGATGTAGGGCTGGCTTACCCTATTACTAAGGCACAACCCTGTGGATTCTGTGATTGCCCTGATGATTCAATGAGATTTCTCCATTCTGATTGGTAGGAGCTAAAACTTGTAGCCCTGTGTGAGCTCTAAGGGTTGTTCTGTGTATAGCTCCCAAATAATTTTTCCTTTCCTGGTAGTTATTCTTTGCCCAGCCTTGTGGAAACTCATCCTAAGCATGTTTAGCTTGGTATTCAGCTAATAGCTCCAGGAACCCCTTATGTAGATTTCTGGAGCTCTTTCTCTGTCTAGCTTCCTTCTTACTGATCTTTAAGGTCTCAGCCTTTGTAAAGTTCTATCTCTGTCTTTTCAACTAAGTGATGCTTATTGTCCTATTCTACTTAGGTTATACCTCCTGGTGCTATGCTCTGGGAAGTGCCTCCAGTTGTAAAGCTATGGGAATTGTAAGGTTCACCTAATTTCAATCCTTTTTATCAAGGGGCCACAGTTCTGCACTGCTGATATTCAGTGTCTGTAACCAGTTGTGTCATATATTTTCTGTAGTTTTCTAGTTGTTTATGGTGGGAAACTATATCTATATCTATATCTATATCTATATCTATATCTATATCTATATCTATATGTATATCTATATCAAACCCACCAGCCACTCCTTGGAAGGAAGGTTGGGCAATCCTACTTCTGTAGTGATACTGCCTCGGAAACCCAGGGAGGGGTCGCTATGAGTCGGGGCCGACTCGACGGCAAATAACAACAACAACATATCTATATCTATATCTATATCTATAGAGAGAGACAAGAGACAGAGAGAGACAGAGAGAGAAATTTATCTTAGGAAACTGGCTCATACACTTGTAGAAGCTGGCAAGTCCCAAGTTCTTGGATCAAACACCAAGCTGGAGGATTTTCCCGACTCACGCAACTGCAGGGGCTGAGGAGATTGAGGATGGCAGGCAGTAGACTGGCTATTGATTTCAGCATAAGACAAATCCAAGATCACCAGGCCAAATGGTGGATTGTTCACTCATGGCAAGTTGTAGACAGCACACAGGATCCAGATCCACAGAAGAGTGTCTCATTTTCCCAGGATGTCCATAAATACATTGGAAGCAGGCTACACCCCTAGGGAAATTCGCTTTCAATCTTTCAATGGATTGGCTGCTCAAAACATATACTTCTGATTTCATCATGGGAATAACCCACATCATAATTTCTTAAACCACTCAGAATTGTGGTCTAGCCAAGTTGACACACAACTCCAGCTATCACAGAGACTAAGTCTTATGTCATTTATTTTGTCATGACCAACAGAAATACTCTAATTCCCTTGGTTTTTCTTTCTTTTTTGTTACTAGTAGCAGTTTTCTCTTACTACCACCTAGGCTTTGATTGCTAAATTGGGGTGGTTAATCATGAAGGCTACACGTAAGAAGGAGAGACCTGGAGTGACTAGTCCCCGGGGAGCTAGGTTGAGTCATGAGGTATATTAATCTTAATAGTTTGAGTTCTTCAAAGTAAAAGAAGGGTTGAAACTATAATCAAGAGAACTGAGGTCATAGCATGGGGAGAGAGGAACATCTGTTGTGCTAAATTGGTGAGGTGAGTGCATACTGGTGAAAATGAGCAATAAAATCAATAGAAAAGAGATGGAGGAAGAAGAGTTACCCAGAATGGTCTAGGTGTCATTGTTCTGTGAGTTTTAGTAAACTGAGAATACTAACTGTGTCATAGATACTTTCTTTCCTTCAGTGCCTGGCATTTATTGCATTAATATAGGTAGCTACTTTAAGTCTCTGGATAGACCTATTGTAAGACTAGGAAAAGGGGATTCATTTAATTTTATCACACATTTATTTAATGCCTATTTTTTGCCAGGCATGTTCTAGGCAAGGGGAATATAAAAATAATTGAAAAAAGAAATGTGTAGGGAACTCATTTTCTAACTGGATAATTAGATACATAATTGCAGTATATAATCTCATGAGGCCATGGGAGTGCAAAGTGTTGGTGATGGAACATTTCATCTGCACATTTATTGAGGAAATGATGCTTGCATTGAGACTTGAAAGATGAGTAAGAATTAGCAGGGTAAAGAAAAATGGGTGTGGCATTCCTGCACAAAGAATTTCAAGAGCAAAACAGGCATTGAAAAATGAAATAGCATGATGTATGAGAGAAAGAGTATGTATGTGTGTGTATCTAAATGTAACTGTAAGCAGTTTGAATAACATTAGGTCATAAAATGGGGGTGAATGGAGATGAAACTAAGTTTTGGTAGAGATTGATTAGCTTGAGCTACATTTACTAGCAAATCTCAAAATAGCCATTGGTTAAATCAGATAGAATTTTATTTTTCTCTTGTATGAGAGAGAGCAGGTGGACACTCTGGGGCTACTGTGGTTGTCTGGGACCAAGGCTCCTACTGTCTTGCTCCTTTATCATTTTTACATCTTTGCTTATTAGTCCAGATAGCAGGAAAGGGGATGCCCTCTCTTACTGACTTCCAGAAAGTCCTACATAATACTTTCATTTACATTTCCCTGGACAGCGGGTCATAAGGCTTTACTTTCCAGCCAGGAAGACACATTGCTTTTCCAAATACAGTTGGGTTTATTGGTAGGAAAGATAGGAACATGGTTTGGGAAACTAGCAGCCCCTGACAGTGACAGGGAGCCATAGAAGCATTTTAATAAGAGGAGTGCTATGGTCAGATATGCCCTTTATGTTAATCTAAATGTATTTTGAGGTGAAGCTTGGAGAAGGAAGGAGAGCAGGAAAGACTGGAGTCTCAGAGACTAATTTGGCTATTCCAGTTGTCTAGGTAAGAGGTAAAAAGATTTGATCTTGGGCTGCTGGATTTAGGATGAGGAGGAGGGGATATGTATTAATTGGTACTCTTGGTTTCACGTAACAGAAACTGAACTTAAATTGATTTATATATAAAAAAGGGTAGGTTTATCGTAAGATTACAAAAGTTTCCTAGGATAGTAAATGTCATAGGAGTCAGGAAAGTGAATGTTCAGCAGGATTATAGAGAGAGGTCTAGTGAGATTAAAGACTAAAATGTTTGTTGAATTTGGCAGCTTGACCTTTGAAGTAGGTTCAGTAGACTAACAGCAACAGGAGCCATATTGTAGAGTTTTGAGGGATGTATGAAAGTGAGGGTGTGAAGGCAGGAACATAGACTATTCTTTCAAGAAATTTGGCTTAGAATGGAAGTTGGAAGATAAATTGTTTGTTAGAGGGAAAGATAAAATTAAGAAATGTCCTCCAAAAAAAAAAAAGAAAAAAAAAGTGGGAAACTCTTGAGCATATTTCTAGGCAAATAGAAGCTATGGTTGAAGCTATAAGAGAAGAAGGTAATTGGTGGAGCAAGGTCCTGAAGGAACAAGAATCATTAGAATCAAGATCTTTGGAGGAAGATCTGTCTTACACAGGATGAAGGTAGCATAGTGCCTAAGGCACTTGACTACTAACCAGAAGGCTGGCGGTTCAAACCCACCAGCCACTCCTCAGAAGGAAGGTTGGGCAATCTACTTTCATAGTGATACTGCCTTGGAAACCCAAGGAAGGGTAGCTATGAGTCCGATATGACTTGATGGCACATAACAACAACAGCAACAAGAATAAAAAACAAACAAAAAAATCATTGCCATGGAGTCAATTTATGTAAGTTTATAGGAGGGTAGATAGGAAGCTGGAACACTTCATTTTTCTTGATGAGGTAAGAGGAGAGATGATTTTCTGAGTGTAAGGGGAGTGGGAATTGGTAAAAACAAACAAACAAACAAACCTTGAGTAAGATGTTGAAGAAGATATTGAGCACCTGCTATCTGCCAAGACGCTAAAGTGGGTACTTGGAAATGCAAAGCAAGCAAAAGCAGATTTGGCTGCTGACTTACGGAACTTGCTGCCTAATGGGTGAGTAAGACAGTAATCAAATAGTGATAAATAAATGTAAAATGGGTAAATACTTCAAAGGAAGAGAGTAAGTGAGGGAATGGTGGGAAGAACTAATCAAGAACCACTAAGAGAAATTCTAGTTGGGTTGAGTATTTAGCTTAATTGAAATTTTAGATGATGGTGTATGAATTTACCTAGGGTTAGAGATTCATTAGAGATGTTGCTCTAGTTAGTGAATTTCAAGTAGTTGGTCAATATCTGATAGCATAATAAATGCTACCACTGCTGGATCTGACTCATAGTGAACCCTTCTTGGGTTTCCAAGGCAGTATCACTATGGAAATAGATTGCCCAACCTTCTTTCCGAGGAGTGGCTGGTGGGTTTGAACCATCAGCCTTCTGGTTAGCAGTCAGGTGCCTTAGGTAGTACACCACCAGAACTGTCTCATATCTGATGTTGTTGTTGTTGTTATATGCTGTCGAATAGGACCCGACTCATAGTGATCCCTCTTTGGGTTTCCCAGGCAGTATCACTATGGAAGTAGATTGCCCCATCTTCCTTTCGAGGAGTGGCTGGTGGGTTTGAACCACCAGCTTTCTGGTTAGCAGTCAAGTGCCTTAGCCACTATGCTACCAGAGCTCCCCAATAGAAGGGAGAAAATACGTAATTTTAGAAGAAGGCCTAAGATGGAAATCTGAGAAATACTATATATATATATATATATATATTTTTTTTTTTTTTTTGTAATTTGATTTTAGCAAATAGACACTCTACCAAAGAAAGTGTCATATATATATATGGTTATAAACATCCTTTTTAATGAATATGACCAAACAGTAGGAACTAAATCTATCTCAGTTAGTTTGAGAGTATAAACATGAGTAGACCAGCAATATATTTATAGTTACTATTTTAAAAAATTGTAACTCTAAATATAAATAGTTTCTCAGGTTTCTGTAAAAGTAATTAAGTAAGTAACTATCAGGTAATTAGGTAACTAACTAAAGGAAAAATGTTATACATTGGAAAGAGTTGGCAGTTGAGATGTCAGAAGACAAATATATATGCCATGTGGTTTATACCTTTTGTTGTTATGTTGTTGTTATTTTGCCGTCGAGTCGGCCCCGACTCATAGCGACCTCTCCTTGGGTTTCCGAGGCAGTATCACTACGGAAGTAGGATTGCCCAACCTTATACCTTTTAGCAGATATATTTGTGTTCTCTAGTCAAAGAAAACTCTAGGTAATTTTAAAGAATTGTTGGAATGAAAGAATATGTGTCTCATTAAGGAAACCCAGGTTCTAATTTAATCTTGTTATCACTAAATTTTCCTCCCTTGTCTTCAGAGTTTTTCTCTTCTGTGCCTTATGAGTGGTTTTTGTATATTTTTAGATCCAAGGAAAGGGGCAAACAGCAAACTCATTTACTTGAGTGTGTTTTCCCTGTTCTCCTTAAGCAAAGATGTCAGCACTGCTTGATGTCAGTAGGAAATGTAGCTCATTGCTGGAATGTGTCATCTCCTGGCAGCTCTTTTTTTCTCTTTTTTTTAACCTCCCTTTTTGCTTTTCCTAGTTTAATAATAAACTACTAAGAAAACAAAACTAATTTGATTGGCATTTGTGGGCTTAACTCAAAGTAGTGGGTGTTCTTCAGATTTTTAATATCATTTTTTAAAGGGGAAATACAAGAATTTTCTCTAGGAAATTTGACAGTTGAATTCCTACCATTTAACAACACAGAGTTTTTATATCAAAGTATGTAAATTTAAGATTTTCACTTCTATGCTAAATATTCTAGAGCTCTGAAGATGAATGGGTTGAAGCTGTTCCATCTCAGACTCCTAGCAAAGAAAAGGCCTGGAAAGTGAAAGAGGAAAAGTCAGAAACAGAAAACAATGCAGTTATTCAGGTAAGCCACCTATTTTTAAACAAAGAAGTGTTAACTTTATAGAGTAGATAAATGCTAAAATGAAAGATGATTATAATTTTTTTTCAGGAGAAAAGCCTAAAAATAATGTACTTTTGTGAGTGATTTGTGGCAATAAAGCTATTTCTTGAACCATTAGGTACCATTTCTCGTCCTGCTGTGAGAAAGTGAGTGCTCATTTCTATTCTATTCCCTTAGAGGGTCTCCTGCCTCTGGTGTTGATAGTGAAGTGGCACTTTCCCTTATGTACTTGAAGCCTTGTACTGTTACCACTGTCTGACCTTTCTATTGTCAGCAGTGTGCAATCATAGTCTTTTTTTTTTTTTTTTTTTCCTTTACCTCATGCCATAATTTTCTTAGCAACACTTACATTTAAGTAGTTCATGTAGTTGTGGTTATCATTTGTATGCCCAAGGAAGAATATAATTTATCTACTGTTAGTTACAGATGAAGGAAGAAGGTGAATAAAAGATCATGATTGAATGCTTGCTTAGTGCCAGGCACTATGCTGGATGCCTTATATCTGATATCTCATTTATTCTTTACAACCTTTCTGAAAGAAGATGATATATAAATATTCTTAATTAACAGACTTTAACATTTTTATACTTTTACATTTATAGAAAAATTGAACAGAAAGTGCTGAGAGTTTCTGTGTACCCTCTACTTTCACCTGTTGTTAGCATCTTTCATTAGTGTGGTACATTTGGTACAAGTGATAAATCAATATTCATACAATATTATTAACTGAAGTCCATAGTTTACATTAGGGTTTTCTCTTTGTGTTGTACATTTCTATGCTATCAACAAAAAGGTAGGATTTTTATCTCATTTTATAGAGCAGGAGACAGGCTTAGAGGATTAAGAAACTAGCTTAAAGTTACACAGCCATATAGATTTTATATCCATGTTAATTGTTTATTGTTAATTTCTAATCAGTTTAGATTGAAATGAGTTCCTTTTTTTGACAGCGAGATGAGTGGATGACTGTTGACTTTATGTCTGTTAAAACTGTATCATTGTCATCACTCAAAGCTGAAAAAGAAACTGTCAGGAAAATTGAGCAGGAGAAAGCCCACGCAATTGAGCAGGTAAGCAATTGTTTAAAATGCTTTAACTTTCTAATTTTCCTTTTAAGAAGCTGATCATAACATTAATACAAACCTAGTTTTACTTGTAAAATATTTTCTTTTTTGTGTTGTTAAAATTAATGAAAACTAGGAAATGTGACATTAATTCTTTAAAAATAAGTTTTCTGTAGGAAGTCAGTGTAAAAGTATACTGAGATTTATATATCTAGAGTACTTGAATCTAGAGTAATTGAGAGAATATTGAGTTTAAGTGAAAACCGTTAGATTAAAAGTGAGCGCTCTCAACTTCTATTTCTGTTAACACGATGATTTAAATACCCTAAAAAATGATTCAATATCAAGACATCGGAAAATTCTGGATAAGATATAAAATAAACCTTGTTGTAAGATGCTGTCAAGTTGATTTTGACTTCTAGCATTCCCATATAATGGAGTAGCGTGTCCCCATGGGGTTTTCTAGGCTGTAATCTTGGTGGGAGTGAATCACCAGGTGATTTTCCTGTGGAGCTGCTGGGTAGGTCCAAACCTTTGGTTAGCAACCAAGTGCTTAACTGTTGTTCTACCAAGGCTTTAAAATAAACCCACTTGTTTTATATTTTATTGCTATTACTGTATTGACAAGTGAAACATGGGAAATTTTTAGAGAATCAAAAATGAGAAAAAGCATGAATCCTGAGAAGTTATAAGGGCACGTTGAAGCTAGTGGCTTTCCTAGGGCATCACCCAATCCTGGTAATCCAGAACTTCAGTTTTAATGGATGTTTGGGGATAGGATATGAATTCAAGAGCTTGCATGAGATGGGTAAGTTTGATTGTTGAGCTCCTATAAATATGAGCCCCTGTAGGGTCTCATCCATGAAAAGATGAAGTTGAAAGAAAAACCTGTTGACAAACAAGAAAACTTGCCTGTCTTACCAGATATCTTGTATAGTATAGGAGGGATATCCCTAGGGAATGTGCAACTACAGGCTGTCCTTGTTGTGGTTTATATCTTGGATTCATAGGGGTTTATGGCTTGAATTCATGCTATTTGTGTGGTTTGAAACTCTTCAAGGTGAGAATTTATTTTAAAGTATTCCTGAGTTAAGGAGGTCTGGTGGTTCAATGATTAAGCATGCTACTGTAACCAGAGGTTGGCAGTGTGAACCTAAACTTCTACTTGGCTGCTCTGTGGGAGAAAAGACCTGGTAATTTGCTCTTGTAAAGATTACATCCTAGGAAACCCTATGGGGCAACTGTACTCTGTCATATAGGATCTCTACAAGTCAGAATCAATTTAACAAGAACAACTTTCCTGAGTTTATAGTGCCTTAAAGATCTCAGTACAGTTAACCACCAGTCTGAGATACTTATGTTTTCAGTCTAGGCCTCAAAGTTTCCCCAGAAATAAAGTAATTGGGAATATGAGGCCACTATCTAGGAGCTCTGGTGGCACAGTGTGTAAGGCATTTGACTGCTAACCAGAAGGTTGGTGGTTCAAACCAATCAGCCACTCTGTGCAAGGAAAATGGGGCAATCTACTTCTGTAAAGATTTGCCACCTCAAAAACTCAATGGAGGTCACTATGAGTCAGAACTGACTTGGTGGCAGTGGGTTTTTTTTTTTTTTTTTAATCTAAAAGTCATAAAATACATGAAAATAGAAGGATAATCTGAAAGTCACGTGGCACAATAAACAGCAGAATCAAACCTACAAAACCTATATCTGTTGGCATAGTTAGTAGTTTTATAAAATAACTATAGGTATGGAAAAAATGAGTAAGAATAAAAGAATAATAAGAGGACAAATTTGAAAAATAGCCAACTAGAACTTCTAGAAATAAAAAATATGACAATCAAAATTAGATACTCAGTAGATGTGTTAAACAACAGATTGGACATAGCTAAAGAGAGAATTAGTGAATAAGAAGATAGTCTTTATGAATTTACATCAAATGAAGCATAGAAGGACAAATAAATGGAGATTATAAAAGAATAATCATAAGACTCCCAAGATAATATTGTTTGTTTTTCTTTCTTTTCCCCATGTCTAATTTTAATTCTGAAAATGTAAGTGTGGTAAATTATATTGGCTTATAATAGAGCAACTATCCACATGAGACATTGGATGCCAGGGCTTTTGGGGGCATAATAAGTTCTGTAAAATATCTTTGTCCTTGAGTTAAACCTGAAAGAGTTGGAATTCATTGTATTAACAGAGAAAATGGAAAGTACATCTGGCAATAGGGGAATAGCCAGTGGATAGTGGATCAAGAAAGGGGAACTATATGAAGTCTGGGAGTTGATTTTTACACATTGCCATCACATGCTTATTTCTGAAGTCATGCTCTTTTGTTTGTGGGTATTGATGGTCTCATATGCTAGGGTAATTGTGGATTGTGTTTTATGTTTTGCTCGTATTCTGAGCTATTCTCCATATCAAATAGTAGAACATCCAAACCAAACCAAACTCGGTGCCGTTGAGTTGGATCCGACTCATAGGGACCCCTCCTTGTCTTTCCGAGGCGGTATCACTATGGAAGTAGATTGCCCAGTCTTCCTTCTGAGGAGTGGCTGGTGGATTTGAACCGCCAGTCTTCTAGTTAGTAGTCAAATGTCTTAGGTACTACACCACCAGAGCTCCATAGTAAGCTAATTATCCTTAGTAGATTAAAATACTGATTAGTTTTCCTAGAAATATGTTATGTAATTCTACTTTCACTTTTCCCAGGAACGTGTCTTAATTTTGTCTTATCTTATCAGCTTTCTAGTTTTGAATGCCAGGATTTCTAATCACTATCATATTTGTCTGACTCGATGGCACTCGATGAGTTTAGTTTTTTTGGTTTTCATATTTGTCATCTTTCGTTATGAAATCTTATATAAATTTCTCTAATTCAATTAAGTTGATGTGTATTGATTTTCTGCTCATTTACTTATGTAATTTTGGAATCTCTTGTATCTGTATTATTTTTCTCATTCCTAATGCTAATCACTGGGAGTGCTGGTGGCATAGTACTTAAGGCACTTGACTGCTAACCAGAAGGCTGGTGGTTCAAACCCACCAGCCACTCTTCGGAAGGAAGGTTGGGCAATCTACTTCTGTAGTGATACTGCCTCAGAAACCCAAGGAGGGGTCACTCTGAGTCGGGTCTTACTCATAGGCAGTGAGTTTGGTTTTCTGGTTTTGGAATGCTACTACTGTAGTTTGAATACCACTTAGTATGTCCTTGGGAAAGTTATTTAATCTCTCTGTGACTCATCTGTAAACTGGGACTGAGCGCATATGTGCAATGAACTGAGGACAGCACCTAGAAATAAGAGACGTTTAGGGTTAGACAATTGGTTCAGGCCCTTCTTTATTCTTGCTTGGGTAATTACAGTAACATCTTAGTTTGTTTTTCAGCATCCCATGACTGATATTGAGTTAATTTTGCCAAAGTACATCTTTGATCATGCTATCATTCTGATTAGAAGCCTTTAATGATTCAGTATGCTCCTTCCTTGTGGAGGAAAAGCCACTAGTGATATGCCATGCCATCATCTTCTCTCATTCTGTCCCTGATGATTTAGACTAAATACAAGTTTCAAAGAATAAACTGACTGAGCTTAGCCCAGCCTTTCTTGCTATTTTCAGAGATTTGGTGGGGTACAGGGCTATTTGCAGAGACTTGGTGGGGTATGGGGCTATTTTCAGAGACTTGGTGGGGTACAAGATAGCAGCAGGTGTTGTCAAAATGCTTTCTTCAAGTGGGAGCATCTGCTTATTGTGGGGTTCAGTTAACAGGGTCATTTGATTCTCACTGGCAGCTTCTCTTCCAGTTTAGCTCATTGTCTTCTATCTCTTATGTTTTTGTTTTATTTCTCAACTTTTTCAGGACCTGTACTGAAAAGTAGGATGCTGTATTTATTATTATATTTGGAGACCCCAACAGCTGCTTACAAAAGAGAGTCCAAACTGATTAGGTTGATTTTAAGGCAGATTTCTTTCTCTTAGATCATTTGTATCAACTAAACTAGTTTAGTCACTTACCCTCATATTTCTCTGCAAATTCCTGCCTCTGAGTTTTCTTTTCTTTCCATCCATTTTTTTTTTTCTGACTGAATTTCTTCATCTCCAGGTCTATTTGATATATACTCTGAAATTCTTCCTACTTCCCTTAACTGAAATCTTGTTGTCCTATATGTTTCCATTGAACTTTATTTGCTCCTTTACTATAGTACTTCTAGTTTTATGTAAAGTACTATATTAATCTTGTCTTATCTCCTTTAAAAGGTTATAAACTTTTTAAATTGTAATTTGAGTGAAAGTTTGCAGAGCAAATTCATTTTCTATACAGCAGTTCATACACATTTTGTTTCATGACATTGATTGCGATCCCCATAATGTAACAGAAGATTATAAACTTTTGAAGTACTGTATTTTGTTCATTTTTTATAGGACTTTGAACCAGTTCTTCCTGGTTTAGTCATGGCTGACAAAGCAAAACCAGAATGAACCATAATTTGTAAAATGTGAGTATATTAGAACAATAACTGGAATAGGGAAAATTATGGGTCATCACTCCAACAGAAACTTAATTTCCCTCTTAGGAGACAAGAGTGGCGTGCATGTTGCATAGCAACCAAATCTCTTAAGCAGCAGCATGGGAAATAGTAGTGTCCAGCGCAAAGATGGTGGCCATCCACCCCACTTTGAATATGTGTCATTGTCCATAATCCTGGCAATAATCTAATGTCACACATTGCGTTTCTAAAAAGGGCTCACTATGCCTTTTTTGAATTTTCTGATCCAGTACTTTGATCTGTACTTTTTCCTGTTCCAGTTATCATTCTACTATAACCACATTTAACAAATTTGTGCCTGTTCAGATTTTGCTGTGTCAGCCATGACTGAACTGGTTTAAACTGGTTCAAAGACCTGTATTTTTATCTTCTTTAGCAGTTGGTATAGAACTCTGTACATACCTGGTCCTTTTTTGCTTTGAAGTTGTGGAAGAATATATTATTTGTTTTCCCCTCAATTCCAATTTGGTGTACTCCTCTGTAAATCCTTAGATTTAGTTCTGAAGTTTGATAACCTACAATAATTTGTGATTTTGCTTAGGTTGTGAATTCAGATTGTTGTATACAGGAATATATCATTTAGATTAGTGAGTGAGGTTAGCCAGTTTTCAAACATCTGCATGTCAGTTTGGTGTGTTGTTCTCTCCACATGAATATTCTTAAGAAATGATAAATAATTGGTTTATTTTTGAGAAAAAAATTAACCCTCTCCTTAAAACTAAATGTCAATTCTTATAGTAGCAGTGAAGAAAAAATGAAAGTAATTGCAAGAACTCTAAAATGGTAGCTCTTAGCTGAAGCTTTCTTATGAAGCATGTTGATTTTCTATCTCTTCTTGTTACTAGGGATTTCATTACTTTGGTCTTCTAGGCTAGTGTTTTTCAAAATGTAGGTAATAATGAAATTAATTCACTGCAATTAGTATTTAACAAATACAAAATATAGCATGTATTACATGTAAAAGGATACATTGTATGTTCTAAAACTTTGTTTTGTTCATGTTTTTTCTCTTTTCTTGCTGTGAGTCATGGGTAATAGAAATTTTGAAAACCAGTACTTGAGGCTGTCTGTGTCCTCTTGTCTCCTAAGACCTGCATTGTGCTATTATTAGTTGTTGTCCCATAGCACTTATATAAAGTCCTTCAGTGTGAGTGGATTTTGCAGTCTGTGTGCAGCTTTAGCACTTTGTCTCCTATGTTCAAAGCACACATTAGTTGCTTGTTTATTGTATGTATCCCTCACTTAGATCATAAGTTAGAAGGGTGAGTCAGGTATATTGACTGTTACACTGCCTGTGTCTAGCACAGTGCTGAGACATGGTAGGCATTCAATAAAAGCATTGAGTGAAGGAATTTAGGCATTATTTCTTTCAAGTTATAGAAGATCATGAGTCTTAAGAGAGTATCTTAAATGATTTGTCCAAGGCTACAACTGTTATTTGGGTCTTGAATTTTTTATTGTTATTTAAAATTTTTTTGTTGTGGGATTATTTTTAAATTCTGACCTTTGAAAATGTTTTATTATAGTCCAGACTGTTAGAAAGAGAATTGAATCCATACTGGAAGGATGGTGGAACAGGTCTTCCACCAGTGGACTGTAATGTGTCATCTGTTACTAAAGGTATGTCTGTATTTTGGTGGTAGGCACACAGGCATTTCTTGAAACTTTTTATACCTAAGAGTATGAGTTTGTTGGTAAGTTGGCAGGATATATTACGATTTCCAAAATGCATACTAATTCCAAATCAGATTATGAGATGTAATAAATTTATATTTTATTACTAGTTGTTTAAATATTTCTTCATGATGCTATAACTTTGGTAAAGACCTGAATTATCTGTGTGTGTGTATTTGTAAAACAATGATAAATGTATTGATTATCTGGTGTGAAATTTGTGTGGTTTCATATTATGAGTATCTATGGATAATTACTAAAAGTAATAATTAGTTTACATATTACAAGGCAACGATAAAATATCTGCAGCCTTTTGAGGCTCTATCTGAGTTATTGTCAGGAGCTCCGTTTGTGGCCCCTTCTAGTCACTACCTTCTTGCCAAAAAAGCATAACCATTCTGGTTTCTAGCACCAAAAAATCAGTTTTGCCTGGAATCATATAGTAAGTACTGTAATTTTCATACAAATAACATGTACATTATATATTTTTACAAATTGTGCAACCCCCTCATGCATTAGTCTCCTATGTGCAGTATGTGTGTTATATGTGTGTGTGTGTTATGTATGTGAACATGTTATATGTGGAAAAGTACAATATGTCCTTTTTTGTTCGCAACTTCTTTTGCCCGTATTATGTATGTGAACATGTTATATGTGGAAAAGTACAATATGTCCTTTTTTGTTCGCAACTTCTTTTGCCCGTATTATGTATGTGAACATGTTATATGTGGAAAAGTACAATATGTCCTTTTTTGTTCCCAACTTCTTTTGCCCATATTTTACAATTCTCTGTGTAGTTTGTAGAAGTTGTAGTTTATTCAATGTCACTGCTGTAGTCTATTTTAGGACCCTGTAATAGGAATGTATGAAATGTATGTATTCATTCTATTGATGATTGACATTTGGGTTGTTTCCAGCCTGGAGTTATTGAAGATTGTTTCTCTACAAACATATTTTACATTTTTTAGGGTCAGTGTGTGTGCATTTCTGTTGTCTTTATTGCTGAGGAACCTTAAAGAAGTCTTATATTTGGACAAAGAGAAGCAAGAGTTTTGATTTAAATAATGATTAGATTTGTTCTTTATATATATCAAAAGTTTGATGTGTATAAAAGAAAGTGTAAGCAGCTTGATAAAGTTTGTAGCAATAATGAACATTGAAATGTTCATAGTTGATCAAGACTAAGGTAGGCTAATTTGTTTTAACATACATTTCAGCTGTATCTTCTCTAACTCTTTCATTTACTCTTTGTACTGCATCTAAGGTAATCTGCCCTCCCTTGTCCCCATGTATATAATTTATTCTTTATTTTTGGGATTTCCTTCCCTACTTTTTACTTGTAGAAATCCACCTCTCCTTTTTGAGCCTGATTTGGGGAATTTTTCCTTGACCTCCAGTTGGAAATAATCCTTTGCTTTACATTTTCTATAAGCTTTTAAATCATTTTTATAATACTTTTAACATATTATCCTTACTGTAATTGTTTATGCTTCATTCTCTTAGATTGGAATTTTCCCAAAGATAATTTTATTTATCTTTTCATTCCCCTTAGTAACAAAACTCTGTACCTGATATATGGGCACTTCAATATATGCTGAATACAATTTTTAATGTACTTATGTGTTTTGGTTACTTTGTGCTGCTCTAACAGAAAATAGCATGGGTGGATGGTTTAACAAACAGGAGTTTATTCTCTTAAAGTTTTGGAGGCTAGAAGTCTGAGTTCAAAGTGCCAAGCTCTCGGGGCTGGGTGAAAATCCCTCGACCCTGGGCTTCAGCTCTGCCTCTTGCTTCTGGGCCACTGGAGCTAGTGGTGTCTCTTCACTCGGGCAGCTGCTGGCTGCTGAGGCTAACACACCCAAGGTTGACAAATAAAATGGCACAGTCCTAATATTACTAAACAACATGGCAGACCACTAATTCAAGTCCAGAGACAGTCCCAAGATCAGCAGGAAATGTGGCAGGCTGCTAAATGAGGACTCGGCTACATGCAGGGTCCAAGTGTGCCAAAAAGCTGCAGCCAAAAAGCTCCTTATATACTGGAAGTAGACCACTTTTCCGAAGCAGCTACTCAGCTGCTCACAGCAGATTCCACCACAGAGTTGATTGCCACTCTCATCATGGGGAACAGCTACAACCAGCTGCCCTGCCACTCAAAACCAGGCCCAGCCAAGTTGACACATGACCTTAACTACCACACTACGATTTTTATTTATTCAAAGAAAGTATTTAAATTTCTAGTTTAGATATCATCATGGAAACAAATACTGATTCTGTGATAACAACATAAAGTGTTTAACTGACATTTAATATTGGAATTTAGTTTCAGTAGTAGAAGATGGTGGATTAAGCTGGCTCAGGAAGTCTTATCAAAGAATGAAGGAACAAGCTAAGAAACAAAATAGAAATTTTGAAGACATTGTAGCTGAAAGATATGGGGTGAGTATCTGTATTAAGGAAATATGGATTCTTTTTGGAGTTAAATGAAAAATAAGAACCTTTGTCAGTGTTTTGTGCCCTGAAATACTTTTGAATTGAATTGATACTAAATTTCAAATACTGCTAAAGTAATTTTCTGCTTTTCATTATTATATAAACTTATATAACATTTTTTCTATATAACGAAACTTATGTAAAACTTAAAAGCAAAATTAAGTAAAATTTAAGTATAATAAAACAACATTATCTTACTGTGAACAATTTAAGCAATGCAGGAACATCTCCATAGTACACTTCTGGTGATAATCACTATTAATATTTTGGTGTATTCTAGAGTTTATTTTTTCTATGAGGGCATTTGTGTGTATATACAGTTAAAACAAAGGACCTGTGCTATTTTAGAATTAGGTTCTTTATTCACTATGTTTGGTTAGTCTTTCTATTTGTGTATGTATTGATACCTTCTTATTTCCAGATGGAAGCATATTTAGAAGTATGCCCACTCCTCACTTACTTGACATGGTTAGTTTCCAACGACCAGGTTGTTATCTGAAAATTGGCATGATCTGAAAATTGTCATAATGCGAGAATGGATGATGATCACATCAGATTACAAATTGGAGGATGAATACATTATTACACAAATGCCACATTACATCATTATATACTCATCAAATTATGTCATTACATAACTGCCAAACCATTGAGAATCATGGCCCAGCCAAGTTGACACATAATCTTAACCAACATTGTCAGTGTTACTCATGTCTTGCACCTCACCATTCATTACTGCCAGATGTACGCTGTTAATGTGCAAAATAGCTAGTAGATTTTCTACTATGGTTTTAAATGTGAAATACTGGAGAAGGAGATTGTTAATATTTGGGAGCTCTGGTCGCATAGTGCCTAAGGCATTTGACTGCTAACCAAAAGGCTGGTGGTTCAAACCCACCAGCCACTCCTTGGAAGGAAGACTGGGCAATCTAGTTCCACAGAGACACCAACTCGGAAACCCAATGAAGAGTCATTTGAGTCGAATTGACTTGATGGCAGTGAGGTTTTTTTTTTTTGGTTAGGTATAATAAGATTTTGAAAATACAGAAAAGCAAAAAGGTGTTGGGGGAGGTTAAAAAAATCATCCTCAAACTATGATAGGAGATTCTGGTAAGATGGTGGAATAGGCAGACAGACTGCACAAACCCTCTTTAACAAAGAAAAGGGGAACCAATTAACACAGATACAGAAGATAATCCTGGAGCCCTGAACTTTGAAGGGAAGGATGTAGAAGTGGACTAAACTCCAGCTAGTAGAAGAACTTGCATGAAAACACCAAAAAAGGAGACATACGGAGCTGCAGTCTGTCAGTGATCCTGATGGCACACATAGCTTGGATATTGCCTAAGAATTAACCTAAAAATCAGCCCTGCTAGCCAGAGGCTGCATGGAGGACTGCACGGGTGGCTGGAGAATAGAAGGGGAAGCAGCAAAGAGGAAGGCAGGCTGAGCTGTGGACTTTTGCCTGTCTGGAGGGTACAGCCAGTTTGAATGTTAACAAGCGGTTCAACCATTTTGGATATTTAAAGCAACAGCATTCTCCTAGATTCCAGGGACTTAAGAATAGGCTTAACTTGCCGAGAACCACAAGGACATTCCGATGCCAATGACTAGAAAGGTGCAATATTCCCCTTGTTACTCTTATACCCCACACCCTCTTGGTGAACAGAGGTGCAGCCATCCCTCACTCCCACCCACCTTCTGGGCCAGCAGGAATTCTATCCCAGTCTGTATGCTTGGAGGGAGTCTGGGTGCCCTGCCCTGCCCAGATTTGTTTTCCTTTGTTTTTTAGTTTGTTTATTTTTGTCTGTTTTATTATTATTATTATTATCATTATCATTTTTATTATTATTCTTTATTCTTCCCTTCCAAGGTTCTAGTTCTCAGCTCTTTCTCTCTTTCCTGTTCCTGGTTCCCATTTTTCTTTCTTTCTCATGGTTAACCCCATTCCTTGTTTTTCTTTTTGCATTTTTCACATTTTTTTTCTTCATTATTCTCTTGTTACGTGCCATGGAGTTGGACCCAACTCATAGCGACCCTTCCTTGGGTTTCCGTGGTAGTATCAGTGTGGAAGTAGATTGCCCAACCTTCCTTTTGAGGAGTGGCTGGTGGGTTTGAACCACCAGCCTCTGGTTAGCAGTCAAGCGGCTTAGGCACTATGCTATCAGAGATCCCATTTCTCTTATTGTCCTCTCCCCAGATATTGCAGGTTTTCTTTCTCCTTTTCTCTTTTTTTGGTTATTGTTCCTGTGTGTTTACACCGTGTGTTTTTTGTCCACTTGCTTTGACTCTTTTGATGGTTATTCGACTGTTGTTTTTGTCTGAGTGGGATACAGCAACAGTGCCCATACAACACAACTACACTTGCACCTCCTACAACTTCACTTACTGAGTGAGAGACACCACTTCCTTCTCCACTAAGTGGCCAGTAATAAATGACCAGAAGAAGAGCCTGGCTCACCCTTAACTACTCTTCACAAACAGTTAACAGAGATCTAAATACAAAAATGTCACAATGTCTCAGAGACAACAGACCATCATAGTCCACACAAAGAAGTGAGACAAAGTGGTAGAAGCAAGGGAACAGAATACAGACCCAGAACACATCCCTGAGGAAGAAACAGCATTGGAACTCCCTGATAAGGAATTTAAAAGAATTATGTTTAGGTATCTTCAAAGGATTGAGAGACAGATCAAGGAAAACACTAACAAAATTAAGGAAACCACACACAAAACCCTAGAACAATTTCAGAAGAAAATACAAGAAAAAAATGACAAAATAAATAAAAATTAGAAATGATACAAAATCTACAGATAGAAATCCAGAAGATTAATACTAAATTTTCAGAAATAGATAACACTTTGAAAGGGCAAAGGAGTAGAATTGAATCAATGGAAGACAGAATTAATGAGATTGAACACAAATACGTGAATACTTTGGAAAGAGATCAATCAGAAAAAAGATCAAAATGAAATGAAGAAAGCCTAAGGTTCGTGCGGTATACCATCAAAAGGAATAACCTATGTGTCATTGGAATTCCAGAACAGAAAGAGAAAAAGAAAACCACTGAGAAAATTGTCCAAGATTTATTGGAAGAGAACTTTTCTGATAGGATGATATTCACTCAGGAAATCCAATGAACCCCAAACAGGATAGACCCCAAAAGAAAATCACCAAGACATAGCTTCATCAAACTCATCAAAACCAAAGACAGAGAATCCTGAGAGTATCACAGGAAAAATGAGAAGTTACTTACAAAGGACAACCAATAAGAATAAACCCTGGTTTCTCAGCAGAAACCATGAAAGCGAGAAGGCAATGGGATGGTATATATATATATATAACACCCTGAACAAGAAAAATTTCCAACCAAGAATTATATACCTGGCAAAATTGTCCCTCAAATATGATGATGAAATCAGGAGATTTCCAGATAAGCAGAAATTAGGGGAATTTGTTAAAACCAGACCAAACTTACAAGAGATACTAAAGGTAGTCCTATGAACAGAGAACCAATAATAGCAAACAACAACTGATGATTAATACACAAGATGACATAACCCAGAAACCAACACAACTATGGATGTATCCAAAATAAATAAGCTTACAAGATTGTAAACAGGGAAGCAGAGACATCAATTGGCAAATGAGGACAACTACAAACCAAGAGGAGGGAAAATACTGTGTAGTTACAGAACTTCTAAATGGTGAAGTCGTCGAGAGTTGCAAGATAGAATGGACTGTTCTAAACTTGGGGAGAAAATTATAAATCACAGAGTAACCTCAAAGAAAAATGATAAACCTCCACATCACAGTAAAAAAGAGGACAAGCACAAATATTTAGCAAAACAATAGCAACAAAGGAAATGATAACACGATTCATAAACATAATGAGCTCAGCACAGAAAATTATATGGAACAGAGAAACCAGGAACACCATGAAAAAACACAACAAAGTGACAGCAACCAATTCATACTTGTCGATAATTACCTTGATGTTAATGGATTAAACACACCACTCAAGAGACAGAGAGTTGCAGACTGGATAAGAAAACATAACCCATCAATATACTATCTACAAGAGACATACCTTAGAGACAAAAACAAAAGTAGACTGAAAATCAAAGGTTGGAAAAAGATAGATCAAGCAAATGGCAACCGAAAAAGAGCAGGAGTGACAGTATTAATTTCTGATAAAATTAGCTTTAAGACAAAAACCATCATAGGAGATAAGGAAGGACATTATATAATGATTTAAGGATCAATTGAACAAGAATATATAACCATAAGAAGTATCTATGGACCCAATGAAAGAGCCCCAGAAGACATAAATCAGGCTTTACAAGAGTTGAAGAGACAAATAGATGACTCCACAGTCATAGTGGGACAGTTTAATACACACTTTCAATGAAAGATGGAACTACTAGAAAGAAACTCAACAAAGGCGCAGAAGAGCTAAACAATGGAACCCACCAACTTGACCTTATAGACATCTACAGAGCACTTCACCTAACAAGCACACAATATACATTCTTCTCCAGTGCACATGGAACATTTCCATGACAGACTATATGTTAGGCCATAAAGCAAGCCTTAATAAATTTAAAATCATAAAAATACTGGAAAGCATTTTCTCAGATCACAGTACTATCAAATTAGGAATCAACAATAGGAAGGTCAATAGAAAAGAGCAAATACATGGAAACTGACCAACATCCTCTTTAAGAAACACTGGGTAAGAGAAGAAATAAAAAATCAACAAGACTAGAAGTTAGTTTTTGAAATAATTAATAAAAAATGACAAACCATTGGCAAGTTTAACAAAGGAAAAGGAGAGAATACAAATAACACGGGTAAGAAACAAAATAGGTGACATCACAACAGAACCAACTGAAATAAAAAGAATAATATCAGGATACTATGAAGAACTGTACTCCAACAAATT